AACATTGAACATGCTTAAAGTTGCTTTAATTAATGTAATATTTTCATTAAGTTTCTGAAAATTGCATACATAGACATAATGCATTTTGTTCATATCCATCCCTATTTCTCCCCTAACTCCTCCCAGCTGCTTTCTCATCCCTCTACTTGCTCCCTCCTTATCTATCTGTCTGTCTGTCTGTCTATCATCTATCTATCTATCTATCTATCTATCTATCTATCTATCTATCGAAACAAGGTTTCTCTGTGAAGCAGTCCTGGCTGTTCTGGAACTCACTATGTAGACCAGGCTGTCCTTAAACCTGGAGATAGGCCTGCCCCTGCCTGCTGAGTGCTGGGATTAAAGGTATGTGCCATTACCACCTGACCCTCTTTTAAATAACCTACATAGTTGTATTAGTGTAGGGTACATACTCACGGGTATGGGACCGTTGCTAATGTGTAGTTGATCTACTAAGGGCCATATCATTCAAAATTTATTCTCTGTCCCCAAGAAGCCAATAACTGCTCAGTTAGGGGTAGAACTCATGAACCATATTGAAATACAGACTGGCTCGATCTTATTTTCTTATAACCTTTATCTCTCCACTTCTCAATATTCCCCAAAGATGACTCAATATTTAAATTTGATGTTTCGAAAAGATTAGATTTTGAGCAGTTAGCTATTCGGTTGAGAAATTGGTACAAATTTTGCCACTAAAACATCATTTTGCGAAATTTGTTGTACAAAATATGTGAGGATTGGGGATTTATTGAATCATGTGTTTTTCTTTCTGTTTGTCGCTTAAATTGAGATCCATGCTATTTTACACTAGTTGCTAGAACTCCACATCTGTAGTCAACCTAGACATAATAGAAACACAGGCCAAAACGAAAAATAACTCTTCAAAGAAACAAATTCTTTGAAGAGAGAAAAGAAGTGTATAGGAGAAGGAAAGAGACACATCAAATTAATAAAATCGAAGAAATGAAATCAAGGCAAAATACATCCAGCAACACAAACATACATACAAATTGGGTTTATTAAGAAAACTTCAGCACTACATGTTTGATAATATCCAGAAAATTGATACTTTGCTACTGACATGCATTTCACCAAGACTGAATTAATGAAGTGTGCTGAGTAGTTTTATCTCAACTTGACACAAGCTAACATCATTTGAGAGGAGGGAACCTCCATTAAGAAAATGTCTTCATAAGATCCACTGTAAGGCATTTTCTCAATTAGTGATCAATGGGGGAGGGCCTAGTCCACTGAGGTGAGGTTATCCTTGGGCTAGTGATCTTGGGTTTTATAAGAAAGCAGAATGAGCAAGCCATGAGAAGCAAGCCAGTAAACAGCATTCCTCCTTGGCCTCTGTGCCAGTTCCTTCTTCCAGATTCCTGCCCTGTTTGAGTTCCTGTCCTGATTCCTTCAGTGATGGGCTACAATGTAGAAATGTAAGTCAAATAAACCCTTTACTCCCCAATTTACTTTTGGTCCTGATGTTTCATCACAGCAATAGAAATCCTAACTAAGACATGAAGATACAGGAAACTTACATAGAATGACATTAACTATTTTTCAGTTAACTATTTACTGAGTCAGTAATAAAATATTTCCCTCCAATGACCTGTTGTGGACTAAGTGGTTTCAATGTTGAATGCTGCCACTCATTTTAACAAAAAGTAAGCATAATTTTTCTTAATTTATTTTAAAACCACAAAGATGAAGACATTCTACCAACTGATTTGGTTACGCACAGATTTACCCCACTAGGTGGCAAAACCAAATGGGGAACCAATAACAAAAAAATACTATGGGCAATATCCAAGACAATTATTACAATTGATACATAAAGTTCATATTAATAAACTTAAAAAATCAGTTAATGATAATAAATAACAACTGCCATGCAGATCCCACCTTGCAATTTATATGTGCATATTTAAGAGGGGGTATGTGGAGAGGTCAGGAAATTTTTGAAAAAGGGCCTTGAGAGTCTTAAAAATAAAACAGAGTATATAGGAGGTATGGGTAGTGTAATACATGGTGTAAAAATGTCAATATTGGACATTGAAGGTTTGAACTGGGGTGAGGAACCAAGAGGAAGAACACAGAGATGTGAAAGGGCTAATCAAAACTAGGTGTGTTTGAAAACTGATAAAGAAATCTGCTAATTTGTAAGGTAATTAAAAAGCAAAATAATAGTAATAAAATATTTTAAGTGTTGCTACACAAAACTATACTTTAAAATGAAACTCATTATTATATGTCACATTTAGACCCATTATCATGTATAATTAATATAATTAACATATGCTAATACAACCTTAAAACATTGAACAGGGAGAAGTTGAACATTTTCTCTCTAAGACCTGACACAAGACAAATTTGATTAGTTTCTTTTCTTTTTAAATTTTCAATTAAAATTTTCTTTTGAGTTTATACTTTAATTACAACATTTCTCCCAAGGCTGTAAACTTTCCAAAGTTTAAGTCACACAGCATGGAGAGTCCCACAAACCAAGAGAAACTGGAAGGCAGCCAGGCTCTGAGAATGACAGGAATTCCCCACCAATAAAATGGTAGAATTTGGAAGATCCACCCCTCTCCATTAACAAAGTCTCAGAACGTCTAGTGCCTCAATTTCCCATGAATTTTACTTAAAATTGGAACACACAAAAGAATCTGGAGATTACTACATCAAAGGAAAGGAAACAAAACAAAACAAACAAACCCAAACATTGCATCCTATACAAAAGGGCACAAAAATAAGGAAGAGAAGCATCAATACATGTTTATTGTTTTTTTGAGAGGTGAAGGTCAGTGGGCTGTGGAAAAGGAGCCTTTTAGTCAAATTCTACTCAATGGCCAGACATTAAAGAGCTCAGAGCTTGGCCATGTCTCCAGTAACAGAATCCCTTGTGTCAATATTTTGTATATTTTTACTCTGTAGATTTGAAGTCCCTATATTTTCCATTCTTTCTTCATTTCTCTGCTATGGATAAAATATGTGGTTAAGATCCTTAACTGATAAATTACTTGAAATGGAAACAAATATATATGTATATGACTATATAGTCATAATATATAAATTGGAGTATATAAACATCAATATAAAATAATCCACATTTATATATGAAATGTATAAAAATGAATACATATCCACATACAAAATATATAAAAATAAATATATCCATATATGAAAAATATAAACAATATATACATATATATAAATACAATATTAAACTTCAAACAGATAATTTCTAAGATCCATCAGAACCAATAGATGTTCTGACATGAGACAGAATTTGTTTTCATTTTTCCAAGTCTCTGGATTAGGCTGTATGGTATCATCTTTCTTTAATCATGTAGAAGATATAAAAATTCACTGCACTTAATGAATAAGAAAGAACTTACATTTTGATAAAGCTGTTGGAAATGTGGAACGATGAACCTGAATTTGTATAAGGCCATATGGAATTTTCCAGAAGGGTCCCTCAGAAAATAGGATTAATGTGTTGTTGTTATTGGGTCTCAAGGAAAAATCAGAAGGACTTTAATGAGTGCTTGTAATGTTTTAGGTAATTTTCCACTTTGTGAGATATTAAATGAAGACTGATCTTGGTTGATTTATCTTTGAATTTTATACAACACTATTTTCATTCTAAAGAACACTGGAATTCTGTGGAAAAGTAGAGATTTCTCAAGAAATCCATGGAGGACATTGATGTTTGTAGGTAAGGTCGACCTTGTACCATGGAATTGAGTTATTTCACAGAGAATCAAAAACACACAAGTAGCCAATAATAAAGAAGGAGATACATAAAAATGTAATAAGAATCAAATATACATGGTACACAATGAAGCAAAAAGAAAATACATGAAGAGCCTTTGTGGCCATGGGTTGGGTGACCATTTCTTATTTAAAGTCTTTGGAATCTTGAAAAATAATTTTAAAAACATAAATATTGAATGATGTATTTGAGCAAATATTTGCAAATCCTTCTACTGACCAAAGGTTTGAATGGAGAAAATGTAGAGAAATCATCAGACAGAATCAGGAGAAAATTAGCAACTGACTGTAAGTTGTATAAATGGTGCAGAGACACATTTGTCAAATAACATAAACTAATAACAGATATAAATGTGTACATATATTTAGTATTGAAAATATAAAGTTAGAATAAGCTATGACCATTACCATGATATGATATCAACAACTGAGCCATAAAACAATGAGAATTTACATCATTAAAAATTTTTACATTGCCGGGTGGTGGGTGGTGCATACCTTTAATCTCCAGCACTGAGGAGGCAGAGGCAGGTGGATCTCTGTGAGTTCAAGGCCAGCCTGGTCTACAGAGCTAGTTCCAGGACATAGGGCTGTTACACAAGGAAATCCTGTCTCGAAAAACAAACAAACAAAAAAACAAACAAAAATTTTCACATTGTTGATGAGAATATCAAGTTATAAAAATGTTTCATATCAGGAATCAAAATTGTAAATTTTTGCCCAGGAGATAAAACAGCACACTTCTTCACAAAGGCTTTTACATGAACATTCTCACATTACAGAATGTTCCAGAGATACATGTCTAGTGATATTTAATTGAATGAAAAGTGATTAATATCCATATTGTATTCAGTGGTCAAAGGGTCTGCCTGATGGAGAATTTATCATAGTTAAAAAAACAAGAGTCAAAAAAACCACATTTTCCACTTCCTCCAAATGAGAAACTTGGACTTTAGGGACATGAATGTTTGTGTTTTTTGACAGCCTTCCCACATCCACAGTGGCCAGAAAGTTCAATTTCATGGCTTAAATCAAATTGGTCTCATCAGGAAGCTATCAGAAAAACAGAATTGTTGTCCATGGCTGTTGCTGCCAACCAGGATACATCAGAATTTCACTGTGGACAATCCATCCACCACATCTCAGGCCAAAGATAAATACTATAAAAGGTGGAGAAGATTCTGGGTCTTTCCAACACCTGTCGGACTCCAAACTCTGTCAGAAGCAGGGAATCCAGGCTCTATCATGGTGAAGTTCCTGCTGCTCGCTCTTGTGTTAGGTGTGTCCTGTGCACATCATAACAATCCTGACATCACTCCCTCAGAGGTATGTGCATTTGGGGATGAAAGGGTCTGGTGTGTTTATATACACCCTGAGGTTGGTTTGAGCATGCTCATCATCCGTCATAAAATATATCTCCATACCATATCCAAATCCTATCTGTAATTCAATCTTCGTGTTTTCCAACTCCTTACATGCTTTCAATGAGATCTGTCTACAGTGTGAAGGAAGATGAGAAAATTCCAGATTGGACTTTCCCTGTAGTTGATTGACACAGTGTGAACTGTATCCCAGTGTCCCAGGTTCTAGTGTGAAGGAGTGATGATGTCATCTCACGATTTACTCTCCAGGAAGAAGACATCTACATTTCACTAGGTCTACTTGTTGACTGACCTAAAATATATGTAATAATTAGCATGAATGTTGCTGAAAAAAACAGGAAATGGATTGACTAACTGACATTCAAAATGGGGTCTGTGCTCCTTAGGTTGACGGGAATTGGCGCACCCTTTACATAGGTGCAGATAATGTGGAGAAGGTACTCAAAGATGGACCTTTGAGAGCTTATTTTCAGCACATGGAGTGCAGTGACGAATGCCAGACACTCACAATCACATTCAATGTCAAGTAAGTGACATTCACCCAATGCACAGGGACAGGACTGAGAAATAGGAACATGAATGTCATTGTGAAATTTTCACTCAAATACGTGGGTTATACATGAAAAATGGAGTTGGTCTCCTAGGTGTATTCAGAGAACAGCAGCCACAGCCTGAGTCGTGTCCTTGACTTCAGCCAGATTGGCTCTGCCATTTTCTTATGGTCTTAGAATGTTGGGTAATTCTGGTTGAAATCAGTCACAAATAGTAATGGTGTGTAGACAGTTGAGGACAGAGTCTTCTCTTGGAAGCCTAGATTTACTGCCTATGCCAATCATGACCCCAGAGTTGCTGTTTCAGTCTTCAAAAATGGGTTTATTTACCCTAATCAAAAATTACTTCAAGGCAGTTAATGCTACCAACACAATAATGAAATATTAGCAATCTGGAAAGAGTAAATTCAGAAGTGAGTTTTTGATTTTTTTTAAGGGTGGAAGGCGAGTGCCAGACACACACAGTTGTGGGAAGAAAAGAGAAAGATGACCTGTATATGACAGACTGTGAGTATGTGTGTGTGTGTGTGTGTGTGTGTGTGTGTGTGTGTGTGTGTGTGAGAGAGAGAGAGAGAGAGAGAGAGAGAGAGAGAGAGAGAGAGAGAGAGAGAGAATGAGAATGTGCACTGTTGGCCCAGGCCTCACACTGAGGGGCCTGGATTCCAGAACAATTCCATCTGATAATTTCTGATTCAAGTTTCAAAATCCTAACTAAATTTCCAAATATTTATTGGACTATGGGAAGTTAAAGTGAATTACACACATTCCTGGAAAAAATTATTACAGACAGGTCAAACTAAATCCTGGGATATGAATGTCATATGGTTGACAACCATTGAAAATGACTGGAAGATCATCTAAAATATTAAAACTCATTCTCAATATTATTTCTTTTAGTTCAGATGATACGATTTTGTTGAATATGAAATTTGAAAATTTTACATATACAGAAAATACTTAAGGAGTGAATAACTCAAATCCCAAAGCTAAGAAGGGCAATGTATAATATGGCAAGTTGGCAAAAAAAAGTATTGTGTTTAATTTGAATTTTGCTTAAAACCAACAAGAGTAAAAATTCAGATTCCTGTGCCTATTATTTAGGAGAAGTCTAAATGATATTCAGAAGACAATATGATGATGCTCCCTGATTGCTTTCTTAAACTTTTTATTTTATGGAAAACTATACAGTGTGTTTTTTTGTTATTGCTGTTAGGGTTTTTTTGAGGCAAGATTTCTCTGTGTAGCCCCAACAGTTCTGGAACTTCCTGTGTGGACCAGCCAGGCCTTGAACTCACAGAGACTCACCTGCCTCTGCTTACCGAGTGCTGGGATTAAAGATGTGTGCCACAACTTCTGGGCTACAGTGTGTTATTTTAATATTAGCCTGATGAGTTTTACTTTTAAATAGGCTGTGGAGACTTAATGCAATTATAGAATTTCTTATTGAAAATAGAATTTTTTCTCATAAGAGCAAGGTGGAGTCTAAAGTATCTGTCCTACTTTGTAGCTCTCATTTCCAATTTATATCATTGTGAAGGACATTTGTGATGCAATTGAAGGAATAAAAGTGTGATAGGTATGTCAAATATAATGAAAAAAAAACCCTGACAATTCTGCTGAGTTCTAAATTGTTTCTGCTTTAATTGCAGACTCTGGTAAAAATTATTTTCAAGTTGTAAAGAAGTCAGATGACATCATCATCTTTCACAATGTTAATGTCGACAACAGTGGAAAGGAGACAAATGTGATTTTGGTTGCTGGTGAGTGTGGTGCCTATCATAAGGTTTCTATTGCTGGGATAAAACATCATAACCAAAAGCAAGTGGGGGAGGAAAGGGTTTATTTAACTTACACTTCCACATTGTAGCCCATCACTGAAGGAAGTCAGGACAGGAACTCAAACAGGGCAGGAACCTGGAGGCAGGAACTGACAGAGAGGCCATGAAGGGGTGCTGCTTGCATCTCATAGTTTGCTCAGCCTGCTTTCTTATAAAACCCAGGACCACCAGCCCAGGGAAAACAACCACCCACAATAGGCTGGGCTTTCCCCCCTCCATCACTAATTAAGAAAACATACTACAGAGTTTCCCACAGTCGTTTGGGCCCTTCCACCTCAACCGTCAATCTGGAAAATGCCCTACAAAGTTTCCCACAGACCAGTCTGATGGAGGCGTTGTCTAAATGGAGGTTCCCACTTCCCATGTGATCTCAGCTGTGTTAAGTTGACCAAAAAAAAAACAGCTTGCTTTGTTTGATAAAGCTATGAGGGGAGGGGCGGGGTAGAGTGGGGGCTGGGTGTTGGGAGTGGGCGTGGGTGAGTGGAGGATACAGAGGGTGAGGTGAGGGGTTTTGGGTGATTGTTGATATTTGGTTCATGAACCTGTTCACCTGATTTAACTGTTCATTTCAATAATAATCAACAATTCCTGGGTATGGATACTAGAATCTACACACAAATAAAGTGGAAAGTCAGACCATGCAGACATTTAGTTCACAGGTTCCTACCATCAGGATTCCATACAGCCCTTTTTGAAAAAACATTATCCTGATGTGGAAAGCATGAATAAATGTAATCATAATCATCATAATAATAAAAAATAATAATAACATAAATAAATACTTAGTCTTCAAGGTGGGGAAGGTCATCGTTACTCACATTTTGATTCCATTAGATGTGTTCTTTTCACGTTAGAAATCTTAGACTGAGCAGAATTGGGATGAGGGAGGGTCCAGAAGGTAGGATGTTTCCATGGGTCAGTACCAAGTGACCCATTTTAACTGGGGGCTGCTCTGAGTTACCCATTATCTTAAGGGACCCTTGGTTTTCTGTTCCATGTAATGTAGGGAAAGAAGAGAGTCTGAGCAAAGCACAGAAACAGGAGCTTAAGGAGCTGGCCATCAAATTCAATATTCCAAATGAAAATATCCAGCAGTTGGAGCCCACAGGTAACACTATTGTGCTTCACACAGCACATAAATGCATCTGAAAATATTCAGAACAATCATTGATTCACACTTTAAAATTTCAAAATCACTGGGAATATTAAGGGAATCTAACTATGTTTTTTATTTGTGCTTATTTTCTCCCTTTCTCAAAACAATCTTTCATAGACACTTGTCATCAATAAAGACCCTGTATGGGTAAGTACAAACAGAGCAGAAGAGCTTGCTCACTGTTTAATCTGATAGAATTCATCCTTTAGTCTATTAGTTATATATTTAATAGAAAAAATCTAGTATATATATATAATATATATATATATATGTATGTATACACAAATGGGGCAAATCTATGATTGACATTGCCATTAGTCTTTATAACAAGAAAAAAGCAACTCTCCCCTAAAGCAAAGTGTAGATTTCTTTTATCTTGATGTAAAAGAATTTTGTGAAATTCTCAATTGCTAAAAATGAGTAATATTTGTGGAATTCAAGAATGTATCATGTGTTTGGAAATACTGTAAATGTAGATGAACTTTCTAGAAATCTCCTGAGACACAACCTTGCACATACTTACTTTTTCTGGTAGATAATCAATATTTACATAGAAAACTGTCTATCTAAAGCCCAGTACAAAGCTATGGAAGTCAGCAAGGACAAACATAAGCCTAACCTTGTGACATTTGTCATTTTTATCAAACCTTCCACTATAGTCCTCAATAAATTTTTCTTTCATTTGCAATCTCAGAAAGTTCATCAGTCCTATCAGCTCATGAACAACTTACTGTTTTGTTTGTTTGTTTTGCTTTTTGTTTTTGAAGCTTCACAGATGACAGCAAGATCAGGAATATTTCCCACATCACTTTTTCCATGAAAACAGAATCATGACAATGAAGATAACTTACCTTTCATTTTTTCTTTTCATCTTACCTATGAAGCCAGAATCTCTGAAGCAAGATTATCTCTGCTTCATGGATTTTCTTCCCATCCTCCTACCATAGTACTGACTCTTCCACTGATTAAATAAATTGATTTCTCATGCATACATTTCTGTCTTCAATCAGCATGATATAATAATAACCAACAAACAAAAATATGCACTCCACTCTATTAAAAAATATTCTACTTTGGGATGACTAGTTCAGAGAAGTAATTGCCATTGCAAATGACCTGGGTTCAGTTCCTATCAACCACATGGCAGTACACAAACATCTGTAACTGCAGCTCCAGGGAAATCTGCACCCTCTTCTGGCCTCCACAGGTACTGCATCCAACTGGTTCACATTCTCATAAACAGACACACAAATTAAAAAATAAAATAAATCTTTTAAAAAAAATGTGATTAACCAGGCAAGGTGGTGCATGCTGATAATTCCAGGGCTTGGGAAGCAGAAGAAGGTGTATTTCTTTGAGTTCAAGGCCATCATGGTCTATATATTGAGTTCTAGGACAGCCAGGGCTACATAGTGAGACCTTGTCTCAAAACAAAATGTAAATCAATAAAAAAAAAAGATAAAAACTGAACTAGTTGATAATAGAACAAGAAATAATTTTTATTGAGAGTAAGTGCATAATTCATTGATGTGTGTAGTGTGTAGATGTAACCAACCGTCTTATTAAATAAGAAACACAGAGCCAATTCAGAGAAGAAAGCCAAGAGGTCAGAGCTAAGAGCCTCACCCTTCCTGATTCAGTGATCCTCTTCAGCCAAGAGAGCTCTCCAAAAGGGAGCTACTTCCTGTGTGTTTGTCTTTATAGCCTTTCTGTTCTGCCTTCTCATTTGTTGTAAACCCAAACACATGACTGCCTCTGTAGAGACTTCCAAGTCTTCTATGGTTGGGATTGAGATTAAAGGCATGTGTGTCTCCAATGCTGGCTGTATCTTTTTACACACAGAGATCTACCTATCTCTGTCTACCAAGTGCTGGGATTAAAGGCATGCACCACCACCGCCATGCTCTTGCTATGGCTCTAATAGCTCTGACCCCCAGGCAACTTTATTTATTAACATACAATTAAAATCACATTTCAGTACAAGTAAAATACCACCACATTTCCCCTTTTCTATTTTAATAAAAAGAAAAAAAGAAAAAGGTTATAACTAAAAAAAGAAAAACTATATACAAAAGTACAATAACTACATACAATATATACAAGTAATAAATGTCTAAACAATGTCTAGTCCATTTGTACTTGACAAATTCAGAGAAAATAATTTCATTATCTATCCTATTTTGGTAAGTCCAAAATGTATCTAATTCACTTTCTATCCTAATTAATCTTCAACTATAACTAACTAACCTTCAACTATATCTAACTAATCTTCAACTCCCTCAGAGACCCAAGAAGGAAATAGTATTAGCTAACAAAAATAAAAACAGGAAGTGCATGCAAGCAACTCAAAGGTGACAGAAACAGCCAGCTGCCTGGACAGTCACCTGAGGTTTCTCCGCAGTGCTGGGGCATCATCTTTAGCCTATAGGCTTAGCGTATCTGACAGACCCATTTGTGAAGTAGGATGTACACAAGGTCAATAGTTCAACCTCACATTGTGTGAAAGCAGTCCATGTACCAGAAACACCTGAATTCCACTAGTGTCATGTCATGATTCAGGATTTTAAATTCTGGAAATTGTTGATGGTTTTTTAATTCAGCTGTCCATTCTTCTTGACTGTGTATATATGGCTTCATCTCAGCATCCTATTCTTCTCCACATCCCTCTATCAAATGCCAGTCTACTATTGAGAGGCATGAGCTTAGTTACTCTTCAAGAATAACTGTTTCAGCTGCTGTTCCATTGCACATCAGAAGCCATTGGCCCACTGCCTGTTCAGCAGCCTTCGAAGAAAAGGGCACTGTACCTTTTCCGGCCACTTCAGGGATGGTGCCATATTGTTCTGGCCTCAGAATATGCCTTTTGATAAAGCCATAACCACATTTGTTTTGGCAAGAATCAGTAGTCCTTTTTTCATGTCCTGTCTGTCCATTTTGTCAGCAGTTGATTCGAGGATACTTTATTGTCCAGTGGCTAACTTTTGCCACAATGAAAGTTAACTCCATATGCAGTTTCTTCAATGCCCATATTTTCTCTGGAGTAGATTGGTACGGCCAGGAGTCAACATGTCTCAAAAAAGAAAAATTTTCTAAGTTGTTAAAATATTTTAAATGCCATATTCTGTAGATCTCTGAAGGGTTTGAAGATGACCTGTCTAAAATATATCTGCTCAATTTTTAAAACATATCTAATATAACTACAAGTTCTATTGTAATGTCTAACTATGAACTTTTATTTCTTTATATGCTGATAGTTGGTAATAATAACATTCAAGGATCAGAAAATTGCATTGTTAAATGAACGGTATAAGTACAATTAGAAATATATATATATATATATATATAGCATTTTCTAACAATATCAATTTCAATATATGTAATTTGTATACAATATAAAACAATCCAATCCAATGTAAAGTATTTAAAACTAGTAATTATCTTTTTCTTTTCTTTTCTTTTCTTTCTTTCTCTCTCTCTTTTTTTTAAACAAGAACCTTAAATCTAATCTCCTTTGCTTAGCCTTTTTCCTAACCCTTGACAACAACTTGTAACCAACCCCCCTAAACAATGAAAATTATCCCAGACCCAAAACCCATTAAAAAGACCAAAAAAACCAACCGCCCCACACCACCTCTTTGGGAATGTGGTTGTCGTATTCTTAAAATTGCTTCCTGCTGGATATGGGTGAAGTTATCTTTATCCTGAAAGAAAAATTTTAGGTTAATTGTCAAATTCTAGGAAAGGTAACTATATCCTTCATTATCCAGTCTGTGTATAATGCCAAAGTTCAGGGTTTATCTCAAGTCCTTATTCAAGTAGTCTTTGAGACTGGATCATCTCAGCTAGTCATCTCAAAATTGCTCTGAGCACCTTGTAGTTCAAAGCTGATCTGTAGATGATGTTTGTCAGCTTAGTGATGTTATTATTGTCCACGTGGAATTGTTGTTGTTATGGGGCCCCATCTTCTTCCTGGAGACTTGATGTTAGGCCTGGCCGTGAATTCCTGCAGAAATCTGATAAGAGACTCGAACACAAAGACATATATATGCAGCTAATTGAAGCCTTTCTTTCTAGAATTAGTACTCTGTATGACCATTCATATCGTAACAAAGTTTAAAATGTATATATAACTATATATCTATATATATTAATTGTGGGGCATTTACCCAACCACCCCCACAGTTCCCCAGAGTTTTCTTGAGTCTGAGCAGCAGGAAATATAGAAGGATTTATGGAATCTTGCGGAGATAAACAGATAGAAAATAAAGGATAGCCTCGAGAGGGCCTGGAACTTATTCCAACAGGCCCCGACTGGCTCTGCCTCAGGGTTTTTATAGAGTCGCCAAGGGGTGGAGCAAAAGACCTCCTCCCCCAGCACGGCCAAGTGCAGACCATCTCAGACACCTGCACTCAGGCCCATGGTCCTAATCATCCTCTATGCAGACCTGCTGGGTAAAGCCACGAGGAACCCGAGAACGGGCTCCCACAGGTCCCCCTTTCTTAATATATAAAAATTAACTATTAATGGCTTACAGCAATCTCCATAGCTGTTACACCTCCCAATATGGGAGTAGAGAATGATAAAGATGGCATTTCTCTTTTGATTTAGGTCTAAGGTCTAAGCAGTCTTAGCTGCCTCAAGCCCTTTCTAAGCCAAAAACTCTTAAGGCGACTACAAACTTAAAGAATCCCTTAGCTTCATCATTACCATTAACAGGTTAACATAAATATTGCTATACATAGTCACAATTCATTCAATCTTACAACTCAAAGCAAACTCTTAATAGAACCATTTGAATTAGCATATATGGTGCTAAATATATTTAACAATTTTCTCCGTCTTACAAAATTTAACTCAATCATCTGAATTTTCTTGCTAACAGAACATAGGAAAAACTTCAATGTATTGACATCAAACTTAAATATTTCCTTAACTCCACAAAACCAGGGTGCATTAATATCAATAGGTTTCTGCAAACATAATTCAATCTCA